TACACACACACATATGTGTATGTAGAGTCATTAAACTGTACACTTAATATTTGCACATTTTACTATATGTAAATTATTCAATAAAGTACTATTTAAAAAAAAAAAAGCACATGAGCACCTGGGTGGCTTAGTTGGTTAAGCATCTGTCTTTGGTTCAGGTCATGATCCCGGAGTCCCGGGATCGAGTCCCACATAGGGCTCCCTGTTCAGTGGGGAGTCTGCTTCTCCCTCTGCCCTCTGCTTGTGCTCTCTCTCACTCTCTCTCTCTCAAATAATAAAAATAAATAAAATCTTTAAAAAATTAAAATAAAATAAAAATAAAAAATAAGAAAACACATAAGCATCCAAGAATGAATGAACTATTTCAGCTACCACCACCAAGTTTCAGTAAGGGAGCAAGATAAGTAAAACAAAGATGCATAAACCAAAACAAAATTAACCAATCCTTTCATTTAGGGCATAAAATAACTTGCATTAAAAAGCTCATTAAAACTTTTATTAAAAAATTTTTGGTGCAGACTGTTGGTGGCAATCTGAGTTTTTATCCCTAAAAAAAGTGTAATTATAAGAAACTAGAAGCTTTTTCGCTAAGATCAAGAACAAGGCAAGGATGTCACGATTCAGCACTTCTTTTTAATATCATAATGAAAGTCCTAGCTAATGCAAGAAAAGGAAATAAAAGGTATACAGTTTGGGGAAATTGAAATAAAATTGTTTTTGTTCACAGATGAGATGATTGGCTATATAGAAAATCTAAAAGAATCAACAAAAAAACTCCTGAAACTAATAAGCATTTATAGCAAGATTGCAGGATACAAGGTTAATATAAAAAGCCAATTACCTTCCTCTCTGCCAGCAATGAACAACTGGAATTTGAAAAAACAAAGAAACAAACAAACAAAAATCATCATTTACATTAGCATGCAAAAAAAAAAGTTAAGTACTCAAGTATAAATCTAACAAACTAAAATACGAAATTTTGTAAAAAAATATATACAAGGAAAAGTATAAAAGTCTGAAGAAAGAAATCAAAGCTAAATAAATGGAGAGCTATTCTAGTTGATGGTTAAAAAGACTCAATATTGTCAAGCTCTCAGATCTTCCCAACTTGTTCTATAGATTTAACACAGTTCCAATCAAAATCCCAGCAAGTTATATTGTGGATAGAGACAAAATGATTCTAAAGTGGAGAGGCCAAAGACTCAGAATAGCCAAGGCAACATTGAAGGAGAAGAACAAAGTTGGGGACTTCAAGACTTACTATAAAGCTACAGTATTCAAAACAGTGTGGTATTGATGAAAGAATAGACAGATCAGTGAAACAGAATAGAAAGCCCAGAAATAGACCCACACAAATATACTCAACTAATCCTTGTCAAAGGGGCAAAGAATTCAATGGAGAAAAGATTGTCTTTCCAATAAGTGGTGCTGGAACAACTGGATATCCACATGCAAAAAACAAACAAAATGAACTAAACACAGAAAAACATTATATCCTTCACAAAAAATAATACAAAATAGATTATTGACCTAAATGTAAAATACAAAACTATAAAACTCCTAGAAGATAACAGGAGAAAACTTAGATACCTTAGGAATGGTGTTGACTTTTTAGATACAACACCAAAGGCACAGTCTATGAAAGACATAATCGATAAGCTGCACTTAAAAATTTCTGTTAAAGACACGGTCAAGATAATCGGAAGATAAACCGTAGACTGAGAGAAAATATTTGCAAAAACTTGTCTGATTAGATTGTTATCCAAAATATAAAATGAACTATTAAAACTCAACAATAATAAAACAACCCAGTTAAAATATGACCAAAAGACCTTAAAGACACCTCACCAAAGAAGATAAATAAATGGCAAATGAGCTTTTGAAAAGATGCTCAATATCGTGTCATTAGGGAAATGCAAATTAAAACAATGAGATACCACTACACACCTCTTAGAATGGCCAAAATCCAGAACACTGACAGCACTAAATGCTGATGAGTATGTCTGCAACAGGAACTCTCGTTCATTGCAGGTGGAAATGCAAAATGGACCAGCCACTTTAGAAGATAGTTTGGCAGTTTCTTACAAACTAAATATACTCTTACCATATGAATCAACAATTGTGTTTCTTGATTATTTGCCCAAATGATCTGAAAACCTATGTACATATAATATCCTGCACACAGATATTTATGGTAGCTTTTATTCATAGTTGCTGAAACTTGAAAGCAACCAAGATATCCTTTAATAGGTGAATAGATAAATAAACTATGGTACGTCAAACAATGAAATAATATTCAGTGCTAAGAAGAAATGAGCTAATAAGCCATGAAAAGACATGGAGGAAACTTAAATGCATATTGCTATGTGAAAGAAGCCATACATACTGTATGATTCCAAGTATATGACATTTGGCAAAGGCAAAACTGGGACAGAAAAAGCTCTGTGGTTGCCAGGGCTTCATAGGCGTGTGGGGTAGGGATGAATAAGCAAAGTACAGAGGATTTTTAGGGCAGTAAGACTATTCTATATAATACTATATATATAATAATATATAATACTATAACGATGGATACATGTCATTATATGTTTGTCCAAACCCATAAAATGCACAACAGCAAGAGTGAACCCTAACGTGAACTATGAATTTTGGTGATAATGATGTGTCAATGTAGGTTTGAAGATTTTAACAAATGTACCACTCTAGTACAGGATATTGATAGTGGGGAAGGCTGTGTATGTGTGGGAGTAAAGCATATATAGAAACTCTCTGGGTTTAGGGTGCCTGGGTGGCTCAGTCTTTAAGCATCTGCCTTTGGCTCAGGTCATGATCCCAGGGTCCTGAGATCGAGCCCCACATCAGGCTCCCTGCTCTACAGGAGGCCTGTCCCTCTCCCACTCCCCCTTCTTGTGGCTCCTGCTCTTGCTATCTCTCTCGTCAAATAAATAAATAAAATCTTTAAAAAAAAAAAAAAGAAAGAAAAGAAACCCTCTGGGATTTTTGCTCAATTTTACTGTGAACCTAAAACTTCCCTAAAAAATAAAGTCTTAAAAAAAGGACTGTATTTCTCCCCTATGCCTGAAAGGTAATTTTACGAGGACTATTTATAGGCCGAAAGTTGTAGCACTTCTTTACTCCACTATTTCTGCTGAAAAATCAGCTGTCAGTTTGGCAGTCCTTTGATGGTAACGACTCTTCTCTTTTCTGGCTTCTTTTTGTCTTTGGTATTCTACAGTTTCACCATGTTATGTCTAGGTACGTATCCATCCATTCCTTCTTACCTTGTTTGGGATTCATTGGTTCTCTTGTATCATAGAATTTGTTCTTTCCTTCTTTCCAGAAATGATGAATAATTATTTTCCTGTCTGAATAATTTCTTTTCCCTTTCTACTTTCTTCTTGAACTCCAAGTGTAAGTTTTGAGACTCTTACTCTTCCCCAAAATAAGCTTCTTACAGTCACTTCATCTTTATCAAAAGCCATAGTATAAATATATTCTGTGGAGGAGTTTCTGGACTTGCCCTTATAATCCACCTGGACCATGATCTTCCTGAATTGTCCTCTGTTGTGAAAAGACAATTGCTTAGAGTTTAAAAAAAATACAATAGCACAATATAAGGTTTTACATTGATGAATTCATTGGTGGTACTCATGGCAACCTGATTCTTAGCAATATGGCCAAGTTCTCAATTATCCGTAATATAATTGAAACTTAAAATGATCCAGCCTTGTTGGTCATAGAAAATGAAAGAATGTTCCATGATGGAAAAGGAGGGAGTAGTGTCACCAGTCAATGCTGTCTGCAGATTTTTTATGTAATTACTGGGAATTTGGGCCATCACACATTGATAAGGAGTTTCTAGGACTGCCAATGTATGGTATGAGTATAAAGTTAATTTTTAAAAGGGATTTACAATTCACATTTATCATTTGATTTTAAAAAGCCTCCTCTTCACTCCTTAATAAAGAGACACGATGACTAATCTGCTAGTCATAGGCCTATGAAGTCATAAAAAATAAGGAAATGGATAAGCTGATTCATAGCTAGTGGAAGTCCCCATCTGGAAATATTTGAAAGATTGTTTATCAGAGTAAATATTCAAATGCCTCTGCTTTGGTGTATTTCTTAACATTTGGAAGGAACATACCCTGAATGAAAACCTGTAGGTAAGTACGTGGGAATAGCATTCAGTATGGCTGCATCCATTTTTGCCAGATCACCTTGTAAAATGAGTGAAACCTGCTATTGCCAGAGATCTCGGTTTTGCCAAGAACTTGCAATAGCAGGAAGCATGGGCAAGCTGTGAACCCTCAGTATATTAAAAAACAGTGGCATACTGCAATCAGTTACTTTTGCCTTAGTAACCTTGAGCGAGAAAAACTAATCAGCAGTTTTAAGCAGGCTGGACAGGATGGGAGGAGAGTGAGGGTGCCATTTGTTTACATGGAACAGCTTGAAGATAAAATAATCCTGGAATATATACAGAATACCATTCCAACTGATATTTATTGCCTGCCTACTCTGTGCAACTCAGTTCCAGTTCTCATAGCACTTGCATTGGTCACAAAAAGGATCAAGAGTCATTGCAAGGGCAGCCTGGGAAAACAACAAATAAGTAAAACTCTTAAGTTTAATACAACCTTTACTGAGAGCTTGTATGTTGCAGGCACTGACTGTGCTCTGCATTAGGAATAAAGAAGAAAAAGGCATGGCTCCACCCTCGTGTAATCATATGAACTAATGCAGTCATATAAATCAATTTAAGACATGCTATTCCAGATTTCCTGTCACATTGCGAGTTGACTGTACCTTGGCATGTGAGCCAGATTTGCCACACCCTGATTAAAAAAAAAATGAGGCTGACATTGCTTTTGACAGAGAAAGCTCCTTTGTGAGGTCCTGGCTCTTGGGAAAGGGTGTGCCTCACACGTGATTCAGTTCTCAGAGACAGGGAGAGGAAGCTGGAAATGCTTTTCCAGGGAGACTGTACTGATGAGGCAGCAATCAGTCTTCAATCCCCAAGAAACAAAGAGTCTTTGATTTCAGTGTCAGCTGCAAGGCCATACTTGTTCGTGCTTCAACTTACGCTGCCCAGACTACCAGATAAAGTTCATTGCCACTCTCTTCCTCGCCAACAGTAAGCAAAAGCAGGAACTCCTGAGAGAGAAATGCTTGCCCAGAAACAGAGGAGAAGTTGGAAGAAGGCTATATGGTTTTTGTTCTTTGTTGTTGTTGTTGTTGTTTTTTCTTTACTAAGGAATGACAAAGCAGTATGCTCCATGCTCCATAAAAACTTCAAAAACAGAGCTTCTAAGAAGGGAATAAAGAACCGACCAGTTAGTATTCCAATTAAATGAAAGTATAAGTACAGACTTTCTTATTCATAAAATCTTTTTTTTTTCTCATTTCCTGGCTTAAAAATGTTTTTCGGATTGCCATCCATATTAATGAAGAACATGTTGAAACCTTTCACAAAGATCTCACTTTTACACTGGACACATTGGCTTCACCAAGTTTACCCAAGATAGATGATGACCTAAAAGGTATGTTCATTTTCTCTACCTGCTATTTTCTGCCAAAGCTGTTGTTCTTTCTATTTTTCATTGCTTATTCTTTCTTTTTGGTATCTATAAAGATGACGTGACAAGTATGTAGGACATTATGGCAAGAAGTACTAATATGGTTTATTTGAGGTCAGTGCATGGCAAGAACTGGATGTGACATACAGGGCAGCGCTGGGGGTGTAGTTCATTAAAAATACTGAATATAATAGTCTCCCCCTTATCCATGGGGTTTGAGTCCCCAGATCCCCACTGGATGGCTGAAATTGTGAATAGTACTGAACACTTTTATATACTATGTTTTTTCCTGTACCTACATACCTATGAAAGTTTAACTTATAAATTAGGCACAGTAAGAGATTAACAATAATAATAATAAAATAGAATAATTATCACACTATACTGTAATAAAAGTTATGTGAATGTGGTCTCTCAAAAATCTTACTGTACTGTACTCACCCTTGTGATGGTGTGAGATGATAAAATGCTATGTGATGAGATGAACTGAGGTGAATGACATAGGCGTTGTGATGTAGCATGAGATACTATTGACCTTCTGAAGGTACATCAGAAGGAGAATCACCTGCTGCTGGATGGTGGGGTTGACTGTGGGTAATGGAAACCAAGGAAAGGGAAACCAGGGGTAAAGGGCGGGACTACTGTGAACTGAGATTCATGGAGAAAATGGTGAGCCTACAATTCCACTTGGTCTCTCTTCTCTTTCTTAATGAGAGGATCCAAGCGAATGTAAAGTCTATTATTGCATAAATCAAGGATATGCCCGTACAAGTGGAAGGCTGGAGAGAGAACATTTCAGAAAAATGATCTTATCCTCGGTAGGGAAGGAGCTCTAACACTCTAGGGAAGGTAGGAAGAGCACATAAAAGATAGTTATTGTCATGGAAAATAGTCATGAATAGAATATTTGAATCAGAAAGAGAGGGACAGCTTTGGAAAGTTCTCAGCCTTTTAGAGATTTAGCTTCAGGAAACTAAAATAAATCCACAAGTCTACTCTGACTCGTTATGCTCCTCTCTAAGTTTGGAGCAGCTTCCAACATTTTATCCTTTGCACTTTCAAATGTTGTGAAATATCTCCGAGAAAGCCTTTTGGGTGAAGGTTTTCTTTTAGCTGGCATCATTTCCTCTGGGACTTCTCCATCTTTCAGGCACAATCACTTTTTCCATTTATGATGAAATGTTTGCCTTCACTCATCCCCTCTGGCTACATATACATCCACAGTGTCAACTTTCTCACCGTCAGCTCTCTGTTCTGAAATTCCATTTACAGTTGATTCAATTTTACTTCCCCTGCTCTCAGTTATGGTTTCTTTATTACACTTTAATCTTTCTTGGCCAATTCTCTCAAGGATCCATTTTTGCATAACATCCTGGGAGATAAGGAGGCAACACAACTACACACTTTGCCATGTGTGAGTGAAATGAATACTTATTTAATTATACCCAGTTGACATATCATGGTAACTGAAATTGGAACTGTGTTGTTGGGGAACTGGTGTTAATCACCTAAATCTTGGTAACCAAATTTCGTGCATATTGGAAATGTGCAAAGTGAGGACTTCCTACATATTCAAAGGGTTTACCTTATAACTGCCCATGTGCTACTTGGCCCAGTTTTAATTTTTGTATGTTTACGAAATTTGCTTTAAGGATAATTCAAAATTGAGGATATTTTTCCCCACTTGTTGGAATGGTTTTCTTACTAATTCATTTTAAGGAGGTCTTACTGGTTTTGTTATTCTTTACCTTTATCTTGGTGAACTGTATTGCATGATTCCCTGCATTAAATTAAATGCTGTTTGACCTTAGTGAGTGTCTATAAAATTTTGGTTTCCCATGAAAATGAGGTGTAGGTTTAGAGTCTAAACAAAGAGTTATTATTCCCACAACATCATAAAAAGAAAATCCGAAATATTCTGCTTCCCATTTGCTAACTGGGGCTGTAGATATTTAACTTTTTAGCAATTATATAAGTACACTCATTTAGAATGGCACAAATATCTTATTAGAAAGAAAACAATAGGCCCAGTCCAAACCCTTGGGAAGCAACAAAAGTGGTCATAAGAGGGAAATATATAGTAATACAGCCCTACCTCAAGAAGCAAGACTTCTTTGAAACTTCACATACACAACCTAACCTTACACCTAAAGGAACTAGAAAAGGAACAGCAAGTAAAGTCTAAAGCCAGCAGAAAAAGGGAAATAATAAAGATTTGAGCAGAAATAAATGATACAGAAATAAACAAACAAAAAAACACAGTAGAATAGATCAATGAAACCAGGAGCTGGTTCTTTGAAAGAATTAATAAAACTGATAAACCCCTTATAATACTGATAAGCCAGTCTTATCAAAAAGAAAAGGAGAAAGGACCTAAATAAATAAAATCACGAATGAAAGAGGAGCGATCACAACCAACACCACAGAAATACAAACAATTATGAGAATATTATGAAAAATTATGTGTCAACAAATTGGGCAATTGGAAGAAATGGACAAATTCCTAGAAACATAAACTACCAAAACTGAAACAGAAAGAAATAGAAAATTTGAAAAGACCCATACCCAGCAAAGAAACTGAAGCAGTAATCAAAAATCTCCCAACAAACAAAAATCTAGGACTAAATGGCTTCCCAGGGGAATTCTACCAAACATTTAAAGAACTAATACCTATTCTTCTCGAACTGTTCCAAAAAATAGAAATGGAAGGAAAACTTCCAAACTCATTCTACAAGGCTAGGATTACCTTGATCCCAAAACTAGATGAAGACCCCACTAAAAAGGAGAATTATAGGGGTGCCTGGGTGGCTCAGT